TTTCATGAAAATCGGACCAGCCGTTCGCGAGATTACCTGTTACAAAAAAAGGGACTTCTCTGTATATAATTAGTATAGATATGGAAGCAACTGCGACAAAAAAAATTTTATGGGATATACAAATTTATATTCAAAACAATGCTAACACTACTGAGAAGAGAGTTTTAAAATGAATGAACTTTTGTTTAATTTTTTTTTGTTTTATACAAAGCTTTAAACTCGGGTTTATGTGGGCTTTTTTTAGAGGATGAACGGCATTTTAATCGAAAAATTAGTAAGTAAACAGAGATAAGTGGCAACAATATCATTTTGAGCTTGGTCCAAAATGATATGGCCAACAGTGTATGTACCTTGACACCAATAACACCTAGCGATATTCATTTTAACAAACTGGGTTTGTTATGTAATATTAATTGAAATAATTTCGTACTATGCTCTCCCGAACCCTTCTTCCTTGATTAAAAATATTGTCGTTTGAGCGATTTTCTTCGGAAAAGTCTGCTTCCCTATTTGAAATTGTAATTAGGCATACGTCGGGAATAGTTAGATTATGCTTCAATCTGAAATTATGCAAAGTTNCATTGATATAATTTCGTACTATGCTCTCCCGAACCCTTCTTCCTTGATTAAAAATATTGTCGTTTGAGCGATTTTCTTCGGAAAAGTCTGCTTCCCTATTTGAAATTGTAATTAGGCATACGTCGGGAATAGTTAGATTATGCTTCAATCTGAAATTATGCAAAGTTAAGCAAGCGTTAATTATTGAACCAGCATATTCTGGTTTAACTAGAACTCCACGTTCATGTGACAAGCAAGCGAATACTTTCTTTAGGACCCCATTTAGTCTTTCCACACAGTTTCGAGCCCGAATATGACAAAAATTAAAAATGGTTTGGCCAGTCGTTTCCGTATTTCGAAATCTCCAATCAGCCAACTTGTATTTTCATCACGACTATATTGTCTTTCCAAAAACTCCTTGCATATACTGTTTTCCCATATGAATGCATCATGGGTACTACCACCAAAACGTGCATTGCCAGCCAATATGTTAAGGTTGTAGTCGCATAATAATTGCACATTTTTTGAAAAATATCCTTTTCTATTAATATAGCAGCTCTCAACATCGGCCGTTGGCTTTTTAATCTTTATGTGCGTGCAATCAATAGCACCAATGCACCCAGGAAAACCAGTAGCAGAAAAAAAGCTGGAAAAGAAATGACCAACACGTGCACATGAGAATGTACAGACTTATAAATTTTAAATAAATTACCTTCGTCGAATTCTGTTTTGATCCTCCAGTGTAGTTGGAAATTTAATATAATTGCACATCAACTTTTCTTCTATGATGTATGTAACTTCTTTTATAGAACGACAAACCATTGTTTTACTTAAAGAGCAAACGAAATCCTGGCCAACATCCCTTAAAAACGATCCCGTTGCAAAGTAATGCAGTGCTGCAGTCATCCTTAGTGCTTTGGAATAAACGTGGCTCTTTCTCCGTTTTTCATAAAAGGACTTATTTCATTCAATAGAGCAATTGCAGCTTCTTTTTTAAAGCGAAAAAGCTCTTCAAACCGAGCTTCTGGTAAATGAAATGGGTCAGTTGCATCCCTTAAATGGCGTCTATGAACTCGTAACATATTCCTTTGGTCAGTTGCCAAAGCAATTAATGCAGCTGCTAGCATAATTTTAAGCTAGAGGAGATTAAGAATTATATGTATGTATGTACAATATGTATGTGTGCATACATATGGGTATAATTGCACTTGTTAACTAATCGAAAACAAACAAACAAATGGCGGATTTATAATTAATATTCCAACTTTTAACTTTTATTTAACGTAAACAAGACAATTTCGCGCTAGAAATGACAGATGGTTTGTTCCATTTCAATCGTACCATCGATATGTTAACAACTCACCACAATCATATCGCAAGGTGAATTTTCTTAGTTACAGAAACACTTTTCATATCGATTTCGATACGAGCCTTGCGATAACAAATCTTTCGTTATTATATCGCAAAGTTACAGAAACGGGCTACAGAGCGCTTCTACTAAGCTCAGTCGGTAGCAAACCGTCATATAAAAAGGTTGTTTTGCGCATGGTTGTTCTTTTTTCCAAGCAAATTTCTAACGAAAAATTATCTGCGCAAGAACAACCCCTTTGCGACCAACTGAACGCTGACAATGCAAAATTGAATTACTGCGTTTGCAGTATATCTACTGCCCTTTTTAACGAGGTTGAATGTTCCACTGCGGTTATTTAAAATCTACTAAGATTTATTTTAAAGGTTATTTTTGTATTTCTGTGTTTATTCAAGACAAAAAACAATTTTTTTACAACCACTTGAACTACTACAATTTTTGAAAAATAATAAACTTGTCACCGGAAAATATATTTTTAATCAATAAAAGGTGTTTCTGCAACATAACATTTAGTTATTTATGTGTTTACGTATTTGTATGTAAAATATATCTTGTTATTAGTATAAAATCTAACTTCTAAAATCGATTGCGATAAAATTCGTTTTGCTGCGTTTGATTTTTAAATTCACTGCGGTTTACGAATTTCTTCGTCCGAACCTTGGTCGTACACATTTGCATCTGCGTGTGTTTGGCCGGCATGAGGGAGCGAGTAAGCGTGAGCACTCACCAGGGATGCCAACTAATACAAAGCCCGTTCTCCCAGTTTTCGGAAAAAAATTCCCCCATTTTCAATGGTATTCCCCCAAACGATTATATTTCATTACTTGAGGAAACTTGCAAAAATATCGAGCCCTAACCGCCAAAAGGGCGTAAGCGACAAAAAGTAAATTTTACAGTAGGCGTTTTTTTTTATTAACACGGCAATCACTGTAGATACTAACGTGAAGGTCAATGAATAAATTACGTTTGATGTTAGGTATATAATACTGGTGGTATTATTTGTCTATCTTTAATGAAACAGGTGATTTTGTCGCTTACGCCCTTTTTGCCGTCACAAAAAAAGGCTGCAGTACGCAATTGCGGCGGTTAAGCCAAAAGATATATTACAAAAAAACATGTTTTTGCATTAACAAAAACGATTTTGATACTTTTAGCTCATTTCTTGTATTCCTCTTATTAAGCAAACAACTCTACATACATACAATATTGGATAAAATACTATTTCTCTATAACATAGGTTGTTAAACTTTTAAGATGATGGAACCCTTACTAAACACCATTAATTTTATTGAACCCGATCATGATCCGATGATCAGATTTAATCCAAATAAATATGGGACCACCTGTGGGGTAACATCTTTTCTTTAAAAAAATAATTGTAGAAATCGGCTAACGTGGTCCAAAGTTATGCTGTAACATACATAAAAAAAAAAATATAAAAAAAATATTCCGACGAATTGATAACCTTTCTCTTTTTTGTGAAGTCGGTTAAATAGTAGTTCGATATGTCTGAAAATTGTATGCGCTTTTCTTGGGTAGCATCTAATTTCGACCTGGATTTTTTTTTTGTATAAGTGTAAGCTGAAAACCCTGTTGACAGAGTACGTTAAGATGGCCTTTTTAGCGACTTCATGATATTTACTCTCAATACTAACCCAAAACTATTTCAGAGACACAGATTCAAATGAGTGTTTCAATGTCGAAGTACTCTGAAGATCTATGAATGACACTCAGTACGGCAATCACACTAACTACGAGTACATATGTATACTTGAAAGTAGATAATTGCGTGTCGGTCAAGCTGTTTATAGAACTTTTATAGAACCGATTTCGTTTGTCCCAAAAAATTTTGTTCTTTTATGGTGGGCAGAGGATGAGCCTTTTTTGCCTTATTGGAGTGCATTATTTTAAGAAACGAACACAGAATTTTCCTCTTCTACTAACTCTTCGGTGTCGCTGTGTGGGACGAGTGCCCCTTTAGTGAAGCGCTGCAACAACCAAGCATTTTAACACCATATACATGTATTATATTTTTATACTTTTGATTAAAAATCTTAATCTACCAGAAATATATGCATTTAGTTTTGTTTGTAAATGGTCCATATTTGGAAGAAATAAGTTAATTGTAAAATCAATAATTTTTAAAGAAAGCTTTCTAAATATGAACGAAATCGGACAATAGCTACTGGTTTAACAGACTCGTGCGCCACCTATCGGCAACAGTTTTAGTGCAGTTAGTTAATATGCGTTCTAAATATGAACCAAACCTAACTAGAAATAAGGGATTTTCAAACATCTCGACTCCTGCGCCACCTATCGGATTAACTCATCTTTCGTATTGCATTGTCATCGGGTTCTGAGCTAACTGTGAAGTTTCAAGTCTATGGGTCATTGAAAAGTTGATCAAAAATTGATTGCAATATTTGCCCCTAAGAAACATACATACATACGTACAGAGCAAGGCAAGGAGTTTTAGTTCGGATTGAAGTTTCACTCTACGGGGGTTAGGCTTTCGATGCGTTCTCCTTGTATGTATAAAAACAAGTAATTTTTAGCAAAAAAACCCACTTAAAACATATATATATATACCATGATCCACTTATCGGATCTAAACCAGGTTAGTACGGGACCACCTTTGAGACACTACCTTTCCGAAGAAAAAGAATTATAGAAATCGGTTGACGCGGTCCAAAGTTATGCGGTAACATACATAAAAAAAAACCATATATATATATATATATATTCCGACGAGCTGATAACCTCCTCCTTTTTTTGGAAGTCAGTTAAAAAACATACAGAGCAAGTAAACTAAAAGCTTGTAAAATAGAGGCACTTCAAAACTTTCACACAAAAATGTAACAATGCCCCTCTGCAATGAAAAATTGTTCACGGAGAAAAGGCTTAACCGACACTGCGGGCACAAAAAAATGTAAACAGAATACAATTAAGCAGTTAAGCCAAAATTGCTTTCGCTATAACTTTGTAACGGTATTTCGTACGACTTTGAAATTTTTGACAGCTGGTGCGTATGGTGGTAGGTAATCGATTTCCGTCAAAAACAGAAAATCGAACAGGTTGTCGCTTACGCCCTTTTGGCGGTTAGGGCTCGATATGAGCACACATGCACATTTTTTCATGTTAGCTGAGCCGACGATCCACAAAAACATTCGAGAAATGTATAATACCTACTATTTAAATACTTTTCCCGCATTCTTCAATGCCAATTTAGTGCAGTTTATTCTCGATATGAAAATGTTTATATACACATACACTATTTCAAATAACATATATATTACGGCTAAATTAAAGTGAAACTCCAATTAGTTCTATAAAAATTTAAAATCGTAATTAGTGGGTAACTTTTTAGTTTGGTTTTGGTAAATACAACAATACTTATATTTTTGATTTTTCCCAAGTTTTGGGGCTTTTAGGAAAGTTGGCAGCCATGGGGACTCACACTCGTGAGTACTCAAACATACTTGTTCTCTCATTCTGATCACACATACAGATGCAATTCGCTCAAATTTTCTCTTTCCCCAACTGGACGATGAGAAGTGTCAGGAAGCTGCAGAGAAAAAAGATGCCGCCTACAGGGCCACGCGGCGATCGAGCGCAACGCGCGCTGTGTGGGACCGCTATATGGATCCGAAGAGGGAAGCGAGACGTATTTGCCGCAATAAGAAGGGAGAGGCCAAAATACGTGAGTGCGAAGAGCTTGAAATGCTGGCTGACAGAAAGAATGCCCGAAAATTTTTCCAGAGAGTTAGGCGACTTACGGAAGGTTTCTAGACAAGGGCGTTCTCCTGTAAGAACAACAATGGCGACCTAGTTACCGATGTTCAGAACCTACTTCAATTATGGAGGGAAAACTATTCCACCCTACTGAATGGTAGCAGCACGGAAAGTTGTGGAGAAGAAAACCCCCGAGCCCCCAGTCGGTGATGACGGAGTCGATGTTCCTCCGCCTGACTATGACGAGGTACGAATAGCAATAGCGCGGCTGAAAAAACAACAAAGCTGCTGGAGATGACAGCCTGCCAGTTAAACTGTGGTGGCGAGGAGTTGATAAGGTGCATGCATCAACTCTTATGCAGAATATGGTCAGATGAACGACGTGTGGAATTTATTAAAGTGTGCTCTGCCCAATCCACAAGAAAAGCAACCCCGCCATTCGCACCAACTACCGCGGGATCAGCCTTCTTAGCATAGGTTAGAAGGTCTTATCGAGCGTATTGTGTAAAAGACTGAAGCCCACCGTCAATGAACTGATTGGGCCTTATCAGTGTGGCTTTAGACCTGGGAAATCCACTATAGACCAGGTATTCAAAATACATCAAATCTTGGAAAAGACCCACGAGAAAAGGATCGATACTCACCACCTATTTGTCGACTTTAAAGTCGCTTCTGATAGCACAAAAAGGAGTTACCTATACGCCGCTATGTCTGAATTTGGCATCCCCTCAAAACTCATACGGCTGTGTAAAATGACGTTGAGCAATACCACCAGCTCCGTCAGAATTGGAAAAGACCTCTCCGACTGTGGACAGTTATAATTTCGAGAAAGTAGAGAATTTCGTTTAGTTGGGAACCAGCAATAACACCTATAATAATGTCAGCATGGGAATCCAACGCAAAATCACTCTTGGCAACAAGTGCTACTTTGGACTGAGTAGGCAATTCAGGAGTAAAGTCCTCTCTCGACGTACGAAAACCACGCTCTATAAGTTACTCATCATGCCCGCGCTGGTAAATGGCGCAGAAGCATGGAGAATGACAACATCCGATGAGGCGGCGTTGGCGACGCACATAGGGACGAATCGACAATATAGGACGACAAAAATGTTTAATCCATATGTATTGACAGATTTCAATGAAATTTGGTATTTTGGGGATTTTCTTTATCACTGATTTCGAATATTTAATTTAATTTCAAAAATTCACAATGGCGGATCCAATATGGCGGACGATTTCTTAAAAAATGTCTATATTGTTATGAAACTTGGTGTCCAGAGATTTTCGTCGTCACTGATTTCGAAATTGATATTCAATTTTCAAAAATCAAAATGGCGGATCCAATACGGCGGACGATTTCTTCAAAAATGTATAAATTTTTATGGAGCTTGGTATTTACTCCATATTTATTAGATTCCCATGAAATTTGGTAATTAGGGATTTTCGTCGTCACTGAACTCGAATATTAAATTAAATTTCCGAAATTCGAAATGGCGGATTCAATATGGCGGACGATTTATTAAAAAATGTAGAGCTTTTCGTCGTCACTAATTTCGAGATTGATATTTAATTTTAAAAAATAAAAATGGCGGATCCAATATGGCGGACGATTTCTTCAAAAATTTTTAAATTTTTATGAAGCTTGGTATTTACTCCATATGTATTTGGCAGATTTCAATGAAATTTGGTAATTATGGATTTTTGTCGTCACTGAATTGGAATATTAAATTAAATTTCCAAAATTAAAAATGGCGGATCCCATATGGCGGACGATTTATTAAAAAATATATAGATTGTTATGAAGCTTGGAATCAAGAGCTTTTCGACGTCACTGATTTCGAAATTGATATTTAATTNGACAACATCCGATGAGGCGGCGTTGGCGACGCACATAGGGACGAATCGACAATATAGGACGACAAAAATGTTTAATCCATATGTATTGACAGATTTCAATGAAATTTGGTATTTTGGGGATTTTCTTTATCACTGATTTCGAATATTTAATTTAATTTCAAAAATTCACAATGGCGGATCCAATATGGCGGACGATTTCTTAAAAAATGTCTATATTGTTATGAAACTTGGTGTCCAGAGATTTTCGTCGTCACTGATTTCGAAATTGATATTCAATTTTCAAAAATCAAAATGGCGGATCCAATACGGCGGACGATTTCTTCAAAAATGTATAAATTTTTATGGAGCTTGGTATTTACTCCATATTTATTAGATTCCCATGAAATTTGGTAATTAGGGATTTTCGTCGTCACTGAACTCGAATATTAAATTAAATTTCCGAAATTCGAAATGGCGGATTCAATATGGCGGACGATTTATTAAAAAATGTAGAGCTTTTCGTCGTCACTAATTTCGAGATTGATATTTAATTTTAAAAAATAAAAATGGCGGATCCAATATGGCGGACGATTTCTTCAAAAATTTTTAAATTTTTATGAAGCTTGGTATTTACTCCATATGTATTTGGCAGATTTCAATGAAATTTGGTAATTATGGATTTTTGTCGTCACTGAATTGGAATATTAAATTAAATTTCCAAAATTAAAAATGGCGGATCCAATATGGCGGACGATTTATTAAAAAATATATAGATTGTTATGAAGCTTGGAATCAAGAGCTTTTCGACGTCACTGATTTCGAAATTGATATTTAATTTTAAAATATGAAAATGGAGGATCCAAAATGGCGGACGATCTCCTCACAAATTTATCGATTGTTATGAAGCTTGGTATCTAGAGATCTTCGTGGTCACTGATTTCGAAATTGATATTATATTTTCACAAATTCAAAATGGCGGATCAAATATGGCGTCCCGAACAACAGGCGTTTTACTTTTAACGCAATGCATTACCTTTAGCACCATTTGAACTCATTTTGAATTTTGAAAATATAATTTCAATTTCGTAATCAAGGATAACGAGGATCTCTGAATACCAAGTTTCATAACAAACTATAATTAAAAAAAAGTGGTCCGCCATATTGGATCCGTCATTTTGATTTTTGAAAATTTAATTTCAATTTCGTAATCAAGGATAACGAGGATCTCTGAATACCAAGTTTCATAACAAACTATAATTAAAAAAAAGTGGTCCGCCATATTGGATCCGTCATTTTGATTTTTGAAAATTTAATATCAATTTCGAAACCAGTGACGAGGAAAATCTCTGGATACCAAGCTCATAAAAATCTATAAATTTTTTTTAGATATCTTCCTCCATATTGTATTCGCGATTTTGAATTTTGAAAGTTTGATATCAATTTCGAAATCATTGACAACGAAAACCTCTGGATACCAAATTTCATTGAAATCTGTCAAATACATATGGAGTAAACATATTTGTCCTCCTATATTCTCGATTTGTCCCAATAAACGACTTAAGAAAAACATGCCCTATTTAATGAAGGGGCAAAGGGGGGAACGAGTTCGTGATATTTTTACATTGGCAATTTGTTGGGTTTTCGAACTGTGAAATTGCTGTACTCGTTGGAACTTTTTTTATAACTCTAACTAATATAAAAATTTCAAAATTTTTTCAATAAAAAAAGACAATTTATAAAATAGGTATTATACCCTTTTTACAAACAACTATATTATTAACAAAAATCGCAAAATAAAGTACATACCTCACGCCTCACTTTTCACTATTAGTTGTTAATAAGAATAAAATGACAAGCGAAAATATTTTATCATCGCTTCAAAAAAAAAAATTATTTAATTCGACGAACGATAAAAAACCCAACTTTGCGCTTCTGCTAAAGCTGCTGCGATGCGTTGAAAGTCAAAATTTGTGTGTTACATTGCAGACTGGTTTATAAATAGCATTAGAAAGGTATGTGTGATAAGATTTAAAGACTTTTGTTTTTCTATTTTTGTCGTCGTAATTAGTCACTTTGTCCTTATGTGCGACGGCGAGTACCGCAGACGATGGAACGATGAGCTGTATGAGTTTTACAACATGGACATAGTGCAGCGAATTAAAATACAGCGGCTCCGCTGGCTTGGCCATGTTGTTCGAATGGACACCACGCTCCAGCTCTGAAAGTATTCCACTCGGAAACCGCTGGTGATAGCAGAGGTAGAGGGAGGCCCCCTCTGAGATGGGAAGACCAGGTGGAGAATGACGTGGCTTCACTTGGCATTTCCAATTGGCGTCAGTTGTCACAGAAAAGAAACTGCTAGCGTGATCTGCTGAACTCGGCCAAAATCGCTTAGGCGGTTACAGCGCCAAATAAGAAGAAGAAATATTAAAATGTAAACATCATGCTTCATATCAAAGTGGATAAAAACATTTTTCGTAGGGGTCGGTAAATTTACATTGTTATTAATGCTGTTATTTTTGCTTAAATAGTTTTAAACCATCATATAGTATTAATTTCTCAAATTTTATTAGTTAATAATTTGTGTCCTGCTAAATCGTCACTTTTGCTTTGTATGCGGCGAATGAATTCCCATTTTAATAGCATATTTCCCAATACATCCCAAAAATCATGCAATCTGCCAAATATATAACTCTACATTACCTTATCTTTCTTATCTTGGCGGGCGTATGGAAAGCATGGAATAACTGCAGTCACTCTTGAAGCTGATGCGATTTTACATGCGTTAATCATTATTAAAAGTTCCATCAAGTTGTCGTTAATTTCTCCAGAGCCAGACTGCACAATGTATACATCTTCGCCTCGAACAGACTCGCCGATCTCAACGCTAATTAAATAAAGAGGAGACGACGAATTTTAGTTTTATATAGCTTCTCTTGAAAACTCTTAATGCCTAAAGATTATACAGTTTTTTTATATCACCGTGCGACAAAAGCAAAAAATCAAAACACACGAAGCAATCAATATACCTACTCACGAAACTATGGGCCAACTATGGTAAAAATACGTTTTTAATTTTTCACTCTGACCTGCAGTGTGTCCTGTGGAATAAGCTTGGTGGACAATATTCATTCAAGGATTTATCGAAAAGGGTCACTTTTTAACATAAAGGATATCCGCAAAGCTCTGACCAACTACAATCAAGCGCAGCTATGCCGCTGCAATTCACTTGATCATGAGGTTGTTGGTTTTTGTTAATATTTCTATTATTAAAATGTTTAACTTTTTAGGTGTGCTCGTCCTTAAGTTATTTGTTTTTTGTTATTTTATGGCCTTATAACAATTTTTGATAAATGGGTTTCGAAAATTTGAAAAAATTTATATATGGGTCTAAAGTTGTACCAGCAAAGACAACTCGTGTCAGCATATGGTTCAAACTCCACCACGTTGTTACTATGGTTACTGGTAACCACTGTGTAAAAGAATTTTTTTCTACCCTTGTTTTTTGTCGAGTTATAGGAGTTTAAACATGCAAACCGCCGCAGTTGAGCGCCAACAGGCTCGCCATTATGCCGGAAAATTTATTTGTTTATTTAAATCTTCTATATGAATGTACGCTGAGGAGTTGGCGTTGTTTGAGTACCCACGCCGAAGAAATACTGTGGTGATGTGGATGACGCACGGGTACTTTTAACTGAGAAGGCGACTGAAAATTTTCGCACACAACAAAAATGAGTAAAGGGCATAATAACATAAATCAGCCGTGGTTGAGTAGTTTGTGTGATATCAAGTTACACACCACCAATCGGAGAAGCTCGGCCAATCATTTTAAACTTTGTACAGATTGCTCTGCAGAGCACAGTAGGCATTTTGTGTCCAATTTTCCGTCAAATTATTCGACAATCGACGAAAGTATTAATTTTAGTTTTTACTTTTTCATGTTCCTTTTTTTTGTTGAAACTTTGAATTATTTAATTTTCGTACACATGTACATACATACATACGTATGTATTAAATATATGCATTGAAATTTGTTAATTTCAATTTCTTCGTATAATAAAGGAAAACAAATATTTAGTTCAGTGTTATCATATTAGTTAGTTTTTATTTAGAACAGGGGGTTTTGGATGTGCACATTCTAAAATTGAGACAAGAGCCACAATAAAGATAAAATAACGCCCGCGGGCTTTATTTCATTTTTTTAGGATATAAGGCCCGCGGGCGTTATTGCCATATCGAAAGGGAAAGAAGGCCCACCGGCAAAAGGCAATAAAGCCCGCGTGTTTAATTTCTTTTTCGAAAAGGCAATAACGCCCGCGGGCTTTATTTCTGTTTTTTAAGGATATAAAGCCCATGGGCGTTACTGCCGCGGGCCTTATTGCACTCCACCGGAAAGCATATTAGGGGAATTCACGACTCTATCCATGCAATGTTGTCTCTGCAAACTAAAAAACTCAAATCTATGCAGTAATAAAATGTAAAATATACAACACCTCGAATTTATTAAAACAGTCATTCAAGGCGTACAGTGACAGTGAAGGTACTACCTTCAAGGTAGTCATGCAACATACATACATACATACTATGTATAAATGTTTTTTAGAATTAGCTAAGCATGTATGGGGAATGTTTACAATTTTGAGAACAAGTAAAGAATATTCCGTTTAACTAAACAAAAAAGAAAAAGTGAACGTGGCCCGCCCCTTTTTTCTGATTTTAATGGTATACATTATTTTGGGTGAAAATTCATGGTGCTGGAGGGGTGAAATAATAAAACCTAATATTTTCAAAAGCTTATATTTCGAAAATTGTTTAACCTATTTTCAAAGTATGGATAAGGTTGGAAAGGTAATTGAAGGGCCTTTTATTTGATATGAATATTTATACATATAAAGTATACATGTTTCGAGAAAAACTAGAAGACTTAATGATGGCCATTTTGTAATAAAAATATATGTTTTGCTTAAGAAAATTCGTGATTAACATTTTTAAAAGATATGTTCGTCAGAAAGAGCACAAGAGTACCTTTAATTTTATATATGATTTGTAGTAAAAAATTCTTCGGCGCATGATATTTCACTAATGTATATAAAAATACGGAACAGAAGTGCAGAATACGTACATTTCTCTACTTTGAACTTCAATAACACAAGTAGTTATTATTTCCCCCAAAAAATGTAGTACCGTTATGATAAGGACTAAGACCCCTATCGATCCTAATATACATTTTTTTAATCAGGTAAAGGTACGTATTATGCACTTATACCTAAAATGCAGTTATATGAGAAAAATATAAACGCCGCAGGCTAGAAATTTTAATATATCTATATATTAAGATTATATTGCGCGATTTTTTATTAATTATTTGTTTATTTATTTCATTTTATTCATTATTATTGCCTTCTGGTCACTCGACGCTTGGTTTTGTCCACCGGAGGATGCAATATGAACTGCCGATCAAAGTAGCTCGCGCATCGCTCCGGGTCCGACAAGGCATGGTCGCCGAAGGAAATTTCGACTCTGTCGTCGTGCTTCGTCGGGTTGGACAGTGACCTCACGGTTGACCAAAGCTTACTCACACCAGAGGTGAAGTTACAGGTCTTCAGATGCTCTTCCCACATCTTCCGCTTATGTACGTTCACTAGTTGCCGAACCTCCGCGTTGAGATCCCTGATACGGGGATCTCCGGGATCGGCCTGACGAAGGCTGTCACGGTCATCGGCTAGCACAGCCGCTTCGGCAGTGAAATTTAGACGTGGGTCAGTGATACATCCTGCCGGTACGAAGCGAGCTGCAGCAGCCGTGACAGCCCTGCGGAACTTACGTTCACCAAGGAGGACGTCGGTTGGTGTGGGGAGAGCAGCGAAAGTGTTTTCAGTAAATTCCGCGAAGCCTTTCCAATCAGCTTTGGAGAAGTTGATATATGTTCGGTGCTCCGCGAAGCAAAGTCGGTTGGTTTATCGATCGAGATGACTATGGGCAGATGGTCTGATGTCAAAGTCAGCATAGGCCGCCATGATATGCTGCAAGAATGATAGAATACAAGATTGCGCCGTCCTGGGCGTTGACATTTGTGTACCACAAGTAAACAAAGAATAGAGCGAAAAGAAGAACGAGTTGAAACAGCCAAAGCAGTTCACTTTACTGCGAATAACGTGTTTTAATTTTGCTAAATGCGAAAATATTGCATTTTTCACCTAATCTATTAGAGAACAGTGAACATTGTAGTGTACTCCATTGCTTTGCAATTGAGGCTGCTTCAGCAAACGTTTTAGTGCACTCCATTGCTTTGCAGTTAAGGCTGCTGCAGAAAACTGCAGCAGCGTCTCTGCGGGACTGATTAGTTAACTAGCTAATGGAGGCTGCGTGGAGCAGAAACGAAATCATTGTGAGGAAATGCTGTTAATATTTTGAAACATTTCAGGAACGGCTTTGCCGTGCCCTATGTACACAAAATGCAGCGATTCGTCCCAGCGCTACACTTGCATCTACGCTTCTTGCATCTTGACGGTTGTCGCAATTTAACACACAGCACTTCATTGTATCAGTTTTTACGCAGTCTTCAACTCAAAAATCACTCACAAATTGCAAATTAACACGATTTAAACTGATTTTTCTCTTATAATTAAATTTTCTCTTTCGCTGATTTGTAAACAAAGGCTTATTTACAAGTTACCACAACTGTCAAAATCGGCAAAACCAAAGTAGCGGTACCACTGACGGCGCCACCTTTGCTCGCTGCACCGTGGATATGCTGTTTATCAGACCGGCGCCGACTATTGTTATGTTTGGCGAGCTGCAGCAGCTGTCCATAATCCTGGGTGCGTCGTCGTTCATTGGGCAGAATGTCGAATCGTCTATCTGCTCAGCCAAATCTGTTCCCCTACGATCGTTTGACAGGCTTGAGTGCCAAAGATCGTGGTGCGCATTAAAGTCACCTACTACCATTCGGTTTTCACCTCTGAGGAGCGCACCTACGTCAGGGTGATATCCTGCCGGGCAGCAGGTGACAGGGGGTATATAAACGTCGAATATTTCAAGCTCAATATCAGTTAAATTGAAGGAGCTTCATGTGGTTCGGGAGACGTGATGTTATGCGGGGCATGAGAGATGTGTGTTGCCGTGCCACCATTGGCTGTGTGCGCTGCTGAGGTGGTTGCCGCCCTGTGGTGGTGGTGGGTGGCGTCGCGGTTGAGGTTCGCGACTGTGCAGCGCAACACGGGCCCTCAAAGTTCCTCGTCCAGTCTCACGTGGTGCGCAGACCTGAACATTCCCTAAAGTGGCACCAGCCAAGGCAGGTGTTGCACTTGACTGATGTCACATTACGGAATATCCTGGTCTGACATACCGTGCAGATTGTATGAAGAACCAAGAGTTGTTGACGGCGGCGTGTGGGTGGTGGTGCGGCTGTGTGTGTTCTGTGGTCTGCCGCTTTTGTGGTGTGGTCTATTGTGTTATGTTGTTGTGGTGTGGTGTTTGTGTGGGACAGCTCAGGTGGACTGGGGTTAGCCGTGGAGGTTGCTCTGTTTGAGCAGCAGGGGGCCACAAACGACGTGGTCCACTGCCGATGTGTCCGTAGTCCTGAGCAGATTCTGAGGTGACTCCACCCCTCGCAAGCATTGCACTTGACTGAGGTGGAATTGTGGCGTAGTCGTCTCTGGCATACACAGCAGGTGTAGGTTTCTGGTCCTGGGTTTGATTCGATTCCAACCCTGAGTAGAAGAAAACGTAGCGAATGTAGCCCTATGGACAAACAACTTCTGAGATACTTCGCCGACCTAAACGGGGTTTGATCGCCGAAACAGCCCTTGGTCGGGTAAAACCCCGAGTCATTCCGGTACGTAGAACCGGCTTATCGACAGGCCCTGATCGGCATTCACAGGGAGT